GTGTGGGTGTGTGTGTGTGTGTGTGCATCCATCCATCCATCCAGCCAGCCATCCATCCATGCATTCATGCATTCATGCATTCATGCATTCATGCATTCATCCATCCTCACAGACATACGCAGCACAGCGACCTATATGTCGACCTTTCGGGTTTCGGAGCAGGCTGGGTCCCTGGCGAGTTGCGCGCGTTCTCCTGCTTCCTGATGCATCAAAAAAATTGAAAACTCAGAGCTAACGAGAAAGAGGTGCGGCTGGATCGATGAGGATGAGAATGTTGAGATTTTCATTAATGCTGACAACCGCCTCAAACCAACCTAAGACGGAGGGTGTGGCGATCTGCTGGTTTCGGCTTCTCAGGGCTTGGGAGAACCAGTTCGGGCCTGTTGGGGAAGCCCTGAAACCTCAGTGCCCTCAATGCATTAAACATTTCTGCAGCCTACAGTACGGAGGCATAGAGAACCAACGGTGTGTGGGAGGAAAAGAGTTGAGGGCTTGGGCTTGGGACAGTTGATATATAACGTAACTATAAAGAACTAACTTTCGAACACGATTAGCCTGACTAAAACAACCTTGGGAAAAAGCTGAGCTCTCCAAGCCAGGGGGCTTGGTCTGCACCTCTCGCTCGGTTCTCAAGGCTTCTTTGGCCTGCACAGAGCACCAAAGCCAACGGTGGTTTGGGACCGTGTCGATTCTTCGAAGACCACCCCACACCTACAGATTCTGAGCGCAGCTAGGCACCCGACGATCAAATCGTTCAACAGTACACTGCTCAACTTAGCTGAAAACCCAAAGCGTGGATCAGCATGCACACCCGAAAGCCTTAGCCATCAACAGCAAAGCCTCAACTCTTAAGGCACCATGCCTTGGCCTCTGAAACACTGCCAGGCCGTCCGTTTCCCTTCAAGAATGTAATGAAGACTTGATATACTTAACTGAAGAGCCTAGATGTATAAGACGTGGCAGATGGCACCAGGTCTGCAACTTCCTGTGCCCTGAGGTTCTCCTGGGCCGCAGGAGGCAGGGGGCCAACGTCGTCGGGCACTGGGTGTGTCTCGGCAGCCTGTTGTCAAGAGTTCACGCTTCAGCATACACTGCACCTGAAATGCTGTTAGTCCGAGCTCATCTACAATTATGTGATGCTGCGGGTACGGTGTCTTCCCAAGCTTTGGAAGGACTGTTTCTCAGGGGTCAGATGAGATTAGGCACCGCAGTCTTAAGCCATGACATAGCAGGTAACAGGCGTGTGAGTAACGTACAGTTGCAGGTACGTGAGGTTGCCGGCACTTCCAAGACAAAGCCCTACAAGAGTGGACCCAGAGATGCAGTCAAGGAAACCTCTCTTGCCAGTGGCCAAGAATCTGTACAGTAGCTGAGTAGAGGCCGGGCCACAATGAGGCAACGGAACGTACAACAACCCCAAATGCTCAAGACCTGATTTGCAACAGTCCATCAGCTCCCTACAACATGGAGATCCCAGTTTGGCGATAATCAAGACTTTTGGAGGTTGGAGTAAGAGAGGCTCCCAACGTCTAATTACTGTTGAACCGAACCTCCCTCAACCACCCAACAGCCCGAAACCTCAGAGACCCTATAAGCCCTAAGCTGCCCCCCTATGAGGCCCCAGACCTTCCGCGCGCGCTCGTAAACGAGGCGGAGCTGATCCTGAAGATCTCTCTGAGGGTCTTATAAGGGTGATAAAGCCTTAAGGGTGAATCGTTGGATGGGTCTTGTAGGGCTTACAGGCTTGTGGGACTCAAGGCTTTTAAGAGTGAAGCCATCTGTTGTGCGCAGCGTTGAGGGGCCAGGGCATCCGCAAGGATTCCGCTGTTCACTGCCCGGCGCGGGCTCACTTGTGGCCACTGATTCGGCTGAACGTCTGCAAAACCATCAGGTAGTGAGCATCAAGGGTCTCTCTGCTTCTAGCTTGTCCGTCGCTCTAACAGTTCATCTAGGCAAAAGTGACCCAAGCACAGGACTGTCTGCCCTTCCCTGAGCCATGAAGCATTCGGCACATTGTCTTAATTCACGCTTAGGGTAGATGATGGTAGATGTTATGGCTGCTGTTATACAGGGACTGTATGGTACTGCAGTAATTCTTCAAAGCCGCTCTGCCCCTTTAGGCCTGGCCAGAGCTCCGAAGCTGGGTTCGGTCCTGGTATTGGCCCCACGCACGCGTCATCTTCTCCAACAGCTCCCGCTGCCTCAGGCCGTGCTGGCAGCAATGATCTCGGAGTCGGCAGCGGTAGCTACTGCTAGGAGCTAGGGCTAGATCGTTTGTATCGAGTCCACTGCTTTAGACTGTGGCAAATTCGGCTTGCACCTTGATTCCCGAACCTTGCTGGACTCCAACTCCCGGATCTGCCGACCCATCGGCTTTTTGTGTCGCCTGCGCATCTCTTGTTCCTGCCGGCGCCCACGGGCGGCAGCCGCACGATTCTCAGCTTGCCTGCGCCAGGAGACCAGAACCGTCCGCCAAACTTTCAGAGTGTCACCGCTTATAAGCATCGACGACGCCTCTGAGAAGAGCGCACTCCGCTTGAGTCGGTCTATGCGAACCTTTCCCGAATTCAGAAGACCTATAGAAGCGTTGAGCGCCTGAGCTGAGACTGCCGCTCCTCATCCTGACCGCTGTCAGACACGAAAGCAGCTCTGGACGAAGCTGCTCCTCTTATATGCTTGGGCTTGACGACTGACATCGGAAACTCCCAAATCGGCTCCTCAGCTTGATACCCTTCGAACAGCTGCTCCCGCCTGTTGGGCGCGCCGGTGTTCTGCTTTCCTCAAGGCGTTTCCAGCGATTGTGATTTACGGGAGTGTTGTAGAACCCCAAATTTTGGCAAAAAGTCCCTACACTGCATACCCTAAACTGCTCCCTGAATCCTCAACCCTAAAACGCCCGACTTCGCTGAACCCTGTAAATCACCATAAACGAAAAAACATTCACGCAGCCTTCGTCTGTGAACCCCTAAACCCTGCTGACCTGCAAAATCCAAACCCAAAACCACGCCTGAACCCCCAATACGCCTTTCTCTCCCCAAACTCCCGACTTCAAGCCTAAACAAGGAGCCCCCCCCCCAGCTTCCAGTGTCATTCGTGCCTCTGCCTCGCCTCGTGGCGGGTCTTCACTTCCTGTTGGCGGTCTTCTCGAGGAATGCTTGAAGAATCAAGGCTTTTTTGGAGTGGCGTGGTGGTGTGGGTTTGCTTTTGGAACTTCATAGGGCTTAGGGCTTTGGCTAGGGTTTGTGCAGCTTGTTAGGGGTTAGAGGTCTATGGGGCTTGAGCGTCGGTGGGGCTTGTGAGGTTGCACCTGTGGGATACAACCGCAGACAGGATTAGGATCAAGGTTGGGGCTAAACAGGCTTGAAGGCTTGAGCTAGGACACTAGGCCCTTCGGTACCGTGCCAAACGACAGCGGCACAAACCCAGACAAAAGGGGCCGGTCACCGATCCGAAACACAATCCGACAGAAGTGCAAGGCCTCGGGACTAGGCTTTCGCGCTCGTCCTGGCATTCGGGTGTGGTTTAATTATTGGGTGTCCGGGCTTCTGGGACTCTGCATGGAGGTTCTCACGGCTTCCGGGCAAAGCTTATCGAATTTCCGATCACCTGCGATCAACACCTTGAGTCGTTGAGGCTACTGGCTCAGGACGAGGGATTTGGCGGTTCAGCCTGATCTGAAGATAGGGACTTGTCTTCCTCTGCTAACCTGGGAGATCGTTCAGTACAAAGATTTACGAGGCTTTGAACCCTGGCACACCAGGGCACACGGCACGAGACAAAACCTGCACATGAAACACCGAAGACCGGACCCAGGCGATTGTGAAGGAGATGGACGTTCTCCACGGTCGACCTTTAGGCCAAACAAAGTCGTCAGGGGCCGCAGGGCTGGCAGCAAAAGGCATTCAGACTCTGTCACATGGTTACGGTCTTGGGTTTTGGGGTCCAGGAGTCGGGTGTGTAGGGGTTTAAGGGATTCTGTGTGGTTGGGTGGATGCTCAACGAAACACTTGGCCGCCGCAGGAGACTCATGCTTTCGCCAGGCTTTGGAAAAGCACCACATGTCCGAGCAACTCGTGAATATCATTGTTACACCTGGTACCCCCAGCCATCAACAGTCTGGAATGCAATCGCAATCCTTCGAGTTCAGACTGAACCTGCGATTTGACCATATTTCACCTAGTCTCTCCACTCCGAAGCTGAGAAGCCGCATGAAACTGGCTAACAGAACTCGGTTGCTGACTGGTAGTTGTGGCTGCCTCTGTCCTTGCTGCCACTCTTGGACCTCGGCGGCCAGATAGGCCCTCAAGCTCGCTGCCAAGACAGGCTGACAGAACAGCGACGATCTAGTGGTGATCACGTTTGCAGCTATGGCGATGCATCTTTAAGGTTGGGCCGTTGGGCCCCCTGCACGTTGCGACGTGCTGAAGTGCCGGAAACTGTTGGACTGCCCCACGAATCGCGCGGCATGTGTTTCTGGTGCCTTGTGTTTACCATCAACAACAAGGGGGAGTACAGTTCTGTCGTGGGTGCCGGCCGGCCACTCATGTCTCAAACGCCCAATCCGAACTTTGGATGCATCTCTGTGAGCGCAGATGCTAAACCGAGACTAGAGATAAATGCATTCTTCAGCAAGGAACATGTTCATGCTGGCGCTTTTCTCCGCCGCCCTTGCACTGGCTCATTGGCTCTGACCTCTGCACTTTGAATCGTGCCGTCAAGTGCTTCCAGTGCATGGGCCACATCTGCAGGTCAGGCCCGGCCCAACAGATCGCCTTTGGAAACACGCAACTCTTCGATCCAATTTTCGGAACTCGAAGCGCTCTGTCTTGATCAGGGGCATTCCTGCAGACACTGCCCGGATCTTGCACGAGCAGGACCTAAACCTGAATGAGCCTGAATACCTCTATCTAACCCTATAACCCTAAACCCTCTAGAGCGTAAACCCAGGACCCGTAACGCCATGACACTCAAGTCTGCGTGGAACCAAACATCGCTGGCCCTCAGTCTCGCTCCAGCTGCGCACGGAGCGCCTCCAGCTTAGGACTGAAGCTTGGGAACTTGACAACTGCCGCAAGCTCCCGCCCGAAACGGGCGGCATAATAAATCAACGGTACCGTATACTTCTAATTCCCCGGGTCCTTAGATCGAACATCCCGCTAAGTAGCAGGGTTCATAGTTTGGTCCCCTCACTTTCTGAGTATCCCAGTCCCGAAGTTTAGACACAGCAGCGCCAATTGCTCGCACGATAGGCGCCCAGTTGTCTTATGAAGATGTCTGCAGTCTAGCAGTCTCAAACCTTTTAAAACCCTCCACTATTTATAAATGAGTGGTTGTCAAAATTATGGTCTCTTTTTGGGTCCTTATTATATAGTAATTAGGCACCTAATATTAAGGGAACCCAACAAGGGGCCATAATTTTTACAACTACCTAAATAGAGACTCTATAGAGCCCCGACTCCGTCCTCCAGCTGCTTGCGCAGCGACTCGCTCGTCCGTGGGCGGTGCTCCTCTTCTGGCAGCGCCTGGAAATACTATAGGGGCCTCAATAATTAGAATAGGGTTTGGGGGCCCATTATACTATGACGAAAATAAGGAACCCCCAAAATAATATAGGTAATTATGAGGGCCCCTATACTGTGGGCTCCAAAAGGTGCATCCCACATCGTTCACAGGTGCATGGCACATCCCAAGCTTTATCGGCAGCCAGCATTCATGTCCCAGCCACATCATCTCAGAACTGACCATCAACTAATTGCCCGAGGTACCAGAGCATCCAACACCAAACAAACGCTCACGCAGCATTATAAAGCATGCCTGCAAAAACCTAAACCCCAAACCCTGATCCACAAACCCAAAACAAGTCGTAATCCCCAAACGCCCCAAGATGCCCTAAGCCCTAATTAACCCTAAACCCTACATCTCCAGAAACCCCGAGAAAAAAGCCTCCCATGGCCCATAGAACCCGGAGCCGCCTCACTGAGCTGACTCCGAAGGGAGGCTAAGCGGACTCGGAGGTCGCTGGAGACCTCCCAAAAAGGAGGGTGCATGGGTCTGGGGCTGGGGCCGGGGCGTCACTTTGGTCCGGGTAGAGTTCGGGCTTAGGAATTTGCCGTCATCGGTGCCTGCGCTTTGCTTTAAAGGGCTTGCGACACTTTTTGGCTACATGGGGCTTGAGAGTAGTGTTGCAGCGCTGGGCGCAAAGGCTTAAGAGTGACGGGGCTTTGGGACTTGAGGAGGAGGATTGCAATCCATAACTCAATCGCTCAAGGTCTGAGATGGAAGGTTGTGGATCTCGCGAAATTTGGGCTCCGGAGTGCGACATTAGGATATCACGAGGCTGTATTGAGGGTTGGGTTGAGGGTCCCAATGCGTCTGCGAATTAGGTGCCGCCGATAATCGCTTTACCCACCTGAACTCTGAAACCTCCCTTACACCAGTTCTGTTGTATGGAAGGGAAGAAACTCCACCACCGAACAGAAGAGCTTGCATACGTACCTTCAGCTCTTTAAAGTTGGCTTTACAAGTATCGGGGTACCCTGGACGAAGCCCGCCTCCTCCGGGGGCGCCGGGGGGATGATGGGATCCCTCGGTTGCGGCACCCGCTCCGCCATTGCCGGCACCTTCGACTGGATCAGCTTGGAACCCAATAGGAGTTTGGGGTTCTTTGGACTCAGGGCTTGGGCTCTATCTGCATGGAAGGGCGCGGGCCGCACAAGAGCTGCAGAAGCGGGCCGTGTGAGCTCGTCGCGCATCCGATCAAGTTCTTCCTGCATGAGCTGCAATCCCACCCATATTGGGGGTGCTTTAGGCTGGGTCATGCAGGGATGTTGTGTTTGATGTTGTAGAACAGTAAGGGACCCTAGACCCTACTAGCCCTAACATACACCGAACTAAAGCGCTGCAGAACTGAGCCAGGGATGGACCAAACTTTCGACGGGCAGGGCATTACACATCCTCTCAAACTGAAGGGCCATAGCACAGGAATGCAAGCAGGACCGGCACCAAGACCTTGAGAACATCGAGTTCAGAGACTCTCCAGTCTCCAAAGCCGGAATCTTGATGTCCCAGCATCCGGAGTCCTTGACAAACTGCTGGCGCAGCAGCTCTTCCTTGAGGTGGAAGTCGGTCTCGCCCTTTGCCTGAGCTGGCGGTTTGGAGCCCTGACCCCCTCATCACGGCTACCTGCAGCAGAAGGGCAGAGGGACGGTAGACCCACAAAATGAACAGGTTGGAAAAGGCTTTATGCCTTCATGCTGAAAGGTATGACAGTCCTGGCTTCAATTCCTTCACATCTCCGCAAGGCCTTGACCCAGAATCGAAGGGCCTGACCTCCTGAACATCCCGGAGGAACCTCCTTTTATGAGTTGCCCACGAGCAACTGCGTAACACACCTCTTCACGGATTATCAATTTTCTACCCACGCTGTGGACCTCCCAGCTCTGGCGAGGTGCTGCCAAGATCATGCCCGTTCTCCGCTGCAGCCCGGCAGCGACCTTCTGAAGCTTACTTTCGGGGTTTGGGCTTGACAGACCCAGACTTCAAGAGCGAAGTTCAGGCAGAGAGATCCGATGAATCAGAGACGGGTCCTAGGTCTAACGAAAACCGAAAGCGCTTCTGAGCAGGCATTGGCTGCTCAACGCTATACCCCAGAACCCCGACAACCTGGTGGGAAAAGCTGGACTGCCCGAGTAAGGTGCCAGGTCATCTCCCGGCGCAGCGTCGCCGCTTCGCGGTCCCGGCGCTGCGGCCGCAGTGAGCTCCCCACGGGCACGGCCCAGCTCCTGGCCGTTTCTGTTGAGCGAGTGTCGGAATCGAGAACCTTTGCCGTGCCTTAGAGATTCTGAGTCGTAACGGACACCATGTCGAGGGCCTTCCTATCACACCGCAAATCGCTGCAGATTGTGAGAAGAACCGAACTCGCAGAGACTCCCCTTCCAATTCAGGGTGCAGTGATGAGCTTGAGAGCTGTATGTAACGTGACAAGGAGTAAGCCCTGATTCACATGTCGGTACAGCGCCTGATGGACACACGATGGCGGTAACATCAGACGATTTCGCATCCGAAGCTGCTCTGCGGATCCTCTGTGAGCTCGTCGACGGCATTCTGCGCATGGGCGAGAAGCTGCGTCTCGCGGTTGCCTGATTCATGTTGCGGGTCCCCTACTTGATTGATCTCTTTAAACATGTTCAGCATCTACATATTGTATGGGGCCTCTTCTCTTCTTGAACCCCCCCCCCATTAGCCCTGGTCGTCTGCACACAGAAACCCAATGACCCAGTAAAATTTCGATGCATCCTTCGGGTGTGGTCTGGGGCAAAAGTGCAACTACGGAAGCTATGCTCGATGACCACTAAGATCCTTTCACAGGTACTCGAGAGCTGCTGGGCGTGCTGTACAACCACCCAGCCCACACACCTGCACCCAAACCAACACACACACACACACACACACACACACACACCTGCGCGCACAAGAAAGGCTTGCCTGGGAAGCTGCGTCGCAACTCGAAGTTGAAATCCGGAACCCCGGTGCTTTCACAATTGAAGGCTAGCAGCTGAACTGCTGGTGACCCTCGCGGCTGGGCGAGCAAACCTGCGTGGCACCCAGAAGCGCCGCGGCTTCTTGTTAATGAAAACATGAGGACCGTGTTCATACCACACCGGACCTGCTTTAACGGGAGGCCTGCTTCTACTCACTGTCGCCTTGACGCCGCAGCTGCTAGGTGCAGATTGGGCCCAAGCAGGCGACACAAGCTGTGCCCGACTTACCCGAGCCTTCCCTACTTTCCGAACCTAGAAAGCCGAACACGCCAGCCACCGTTAGCAGGAAGCCTTCCGGAGTTGTGGACAACATCTCAAGCTTTCGTGCCTCCAAAAACCGGCTTCGCATTTCATACAGTAGGCAATACATGTATCCTGGGTGTTTCGTTAAACAGCGAACCCTCTACTCTGTGACGATCACAAGCCAAAACGAACTCTGCAAGCCTCCAATCAGAAACGGCGGCTCCGAAACCCTGAATCTTAAACCCTGAGCCCAAAAAGCCCGAAACTGAAACCCTGAACCCCACACCGCAACCCCCTGACCCATAACCCCTAACCCATAACCTATAACCTCATCACCCCCTATAGGCCCTAAACCTTGAACACCAAACCCTCAACCCTAAACCCTAAATCCTAAGCCCTAAACTAGGTAGCTCGGCCCTAAAAAGTAAACCCTAAACCCTCAACCCTGAATCCTCAACCCTAAATCCTCAACCCTAAATCCTAAACCCTAAATCCTAAACCCTAAATCCTAAACCCTAAACTAGGCCCTAAAACTTGAACTCCAAAGGGTCTGAACCTGAAGCTCCCGGCCTGCGCATCGGCGAGCTCCGATTGGAGCCTCGCCTGGCTGCAAAGCGCAAGCAAAACAAACGCGCGGCCGACTTTCATAAAGTGTAAGGTTATACTAGATTATATTATAATTATAATGTTACTATACTGTAGAATTACAGACTTTTTAATGTTATCCTACATTTCTGCTCTATTAGAGTCTTGCAGGATTTTTGCTTATTTTCCAAAGTTTAGAACTGTTAGGGGTTCCATCTGGCTTCTATATGGGAGTTTCCGAAAATAGGGGTACCTTATTTTGGGGTCCTTAATATAATAAGGATCCTACTATTTAGGGTTCTATAGCAGGGCCCCCCTATTTTCGGAAACTCCCATATAGGGTTTGAGGCATCGGCGCCGGGTTGATGCTTTGGCTGTTTACGGACCTCGGGCAGCCTGCGCCCCTTGCTTCCCTAGGCCGTAATTATCGAATGATAGTAGTATCCTTACGGTTTCGGGTATAGGGTTTGGGGTTTAGGGCTTTGTGTGATTCAACCACATGAACGCTTCCCCAATTGTAACGATCATATACTCTAGCCTGCAAGTCCCTTGAAGACACCCTGGCTGTAACTCTCGTAAAACCGCTAGAGCCGCAAGAGCTTCGGCGTGTTTCCGCAGTGTGGGTACAGGTACATGAGGTACATGTTTGCCATTGCTTGCCCTGCGAAAATTTCCATGCAGCGTTTTGCACGGATGCTGCGCAAATGTCTCGTGGTGCCGCTTGCAGCACCGCAACAAAGTGCTGAAAAGCCTGCTGTGCTCCCACCATTCAGTTATGCGACAAATGGGAGATCTGCTACGTATTCCTGAGCTTGTCTCGCAAAGAACTACTGTCACCACCCTGCTCAGCATAACCCCAGGTCACGACGGACCCATCGCTAAGAATAGCAGCAAAAGCGCCGAAAGCGGCTTGGATCTCCTGCACATTTGTCAGCTGATCCTGTACTTCGCTGCTGTCCCCCCCGTGCTCATCCGAACCCCAGGTCACAACGGATCCATCTGCCAGAATGGCAGCAAAAGCGCACTCAGAGGCTTGAATCTGCTGCACAGATTTCAGCTGATCCTGCACAAGACTACTGTCTGCACCAAACTCGGAATCACCCCAAGTCACAATCGACCCATCCTCAACAAGGGCCGCAAAAGCATTGCCAGAGGCTTGAATCCACTGCACATTCTTCAACTGACCCTGAACAGTGCTGCTGTCACCTCCGGGGGCCACTCCACAGGTCACAACGGATCCATCGTCCAGGATGGCAGCAAAAGCGCTATAAGAGGCTTGAATCTGCCGCACATTCTTCAGCTGATGCCGCACACGACTACTGTCGCCTCCGTATTCTGGACAGCCCCAGGTCACCACGGATCTATCGCCAAGAATAGCAGCGAAAGCACAATCGGTGGATTGAATCTGCTGCACGTTCTTCAGCTCATCTTGAACGGCAGTGCTGTCGCCCCCAAAATCACCTAAGTCAGCATGACCCCCCCAGGTGACGACGGAGCCATCACCAAGAATGGCAGCAAAAGCGGCACCAGAAGATTGAATCTCCTGTACATTCTTGAGCTGACCGTGCACAGCACCACTGTCACCACCCCAGCTAGCTTGACCCCAAGTCACCACGGATCCATCCTCCAGAACGGCCGCGAAAGCACTTTCATTGGCTTGAAGCTGCTGCACTGACTTCAGCTGATCCTTTACGGAGCTGCTGTCCCCACCCTGCTCAGCAGAACCCCAGGTCACAACGGATCCATCGTCCAGGATGGCAGCAAAAGCGCCATCAGAGGCTTGAATCTGCTTCACATTCTTCAGCTGATCCTGCACAGCGCGGCTGTCTCCACCAATTGGAGCATCACCCCACGTCACGACAGAGCCACTGCTAAGAATGGCAGCAAAGGCACCACCATGACAGGCTTGAATTTGGAGTCTGTTTACGTGCAACAACGTGATGGTATCTCCATTCTGCACCCTGGCTTTCTTGATTGGCGCGCGTACATCCATGACACAGCCGGACGAGTCCAGAAGACGCCCTTTCCCGACTTCCAGAACACCAAGTGCAAGCTCTGCCCGTCGTTTCAGTACTCCAGCCGTCTCTTCCAAGGACGCTCGCACAGTAGTTGTTCTCCCGCTTAGCAATCCAACTTCCAAATCGATCAACATTTGTCTCACAGCAAGGGTCCAACACACTACACCCCTAGACCCTAAAAACACCCTTGGCTTTGAGGGTCACAGAAAGCATTGAAGGAATGCAGGCGACAACCTAAAGCGCACCTATCTATCCAACTACCCATATATCTATATCTTTATCTATCTAGATGAAAATGTATATATATATATATATATATATATATATATATATATATATATATGTGTATATATATATGGCTTTCTATATGTATACACTTATATATATATATATATATATATATGCATATATATATATATATATATATATATTCGTATATTTAGTATGTATATATATATATATGTATATATATATGTATATATGTATATACTGATTGACTGATTGATTGATTGATTGATTGATTGATTGTGAAGCTTCTTCACTTCACGGAGTCAACAGGAGCTCCTGAAAGTGCAAGGGTTTTTTCAAGCTTCGGCTACGCAAGTCCATGCTGCACGCCTCAACCCTAAACCCAAAACCCTAAGCCCGTTAACAAGCAAACGAGACCAGGGTCAGGCTCGAGGACAAAGGAATGAATGCAAGCGCCGAAGACACTGGACCCTGCAACCTTGCACCAGAGTTTTTCCCACCCAAAACCCGTCAGTGCGCGCAGCTTAGAACTGAGAACCTGCTTGTAGCTTTGTCCGCAAGAGACTGCAACAGTATCGCGAATTAGGCGACAAGTGGTCTTAAGGGTTTAAGGCTGTAGAGTTTGGGGTGACCGGTTTAAGCCTTTCTTTCTGGGTTAGGAATACTTCGAGATTTAAACACCGAAATCTCAGTACTACAATGAATGGTCTAGGGCTTCTGGGACTTCTGGCTGTAGGAAACTATGCCATCACAGCCTCCGAGCCCCGACCCCATCTGCAGGGGCCTCTACGACCCGGAGAGCGGACTCTGCCGCCTCCTCCAGGTGGA